ATTCCCACTCAAGGCGATCGTAAGCTTTGCTCATATCGGTTTTCACCGCCATTGCACAACGAACTTCCGCTTCTGAAGTCTTTAAATAGTGGAGGACTTCGTGAGTAATGAGAACATTATCCGAGATAGCTCTACCGGGAACAAAGGCGGACTGATTTTCCGAAATTATCGACGAGAGGAGAGGCTGTAATCTCTTAGTCAAGATCTTAGAGATTATTTTATAGTAGACGTTGCAAAGCGCGATAGGTCTGTACTCCTTCACTGTCTGTGGTCTGAGAACCTTTGGGATTAGCCTGATATGTGTATCGTTGATCTTTTCCGGTAAAGAGCCCGTGATAAAAAAGTGTTGTATCTCTGCAACGATTGATCCCCCTACACTGTCCCAATTGGATTGATAGAAACCCGCAGAGAAGCCATCCGGCCCGGGTGCTTTATCGGAGTGAATTGAGAATGCAGCATCTTTGATTTCCAAGGCAGTGGGAATTTGTATCAGCTGAGCGTTGCTTTCCTCAGATATAACCGGATCAAGCGCATAATTAACGGTATCAGCGCTGTTTGTATCCGAGGAAGAGAATAGATTCCCAAAGTAGGCCACAATAACTTGAGCGATTTGTTCTTCTTTATGCACTGCGTTGCCCTGTTCATCCTCAATGACAGCAAAAGAGTTAGCTCTCCTTCTGCTTTTTGTGACTGAATGAAAAAATCCGGAGTTACGGTCTCCAAGACGGAGCCACAACAGTCGGCTTCGTTGCTTCCAATAAGCTTCTTCAGCAAGGTAGGCATCCCTTAGTTCATCAGAGATTTTCTTGATTAGAGCAGTATCATTTTTAACATCCGTCAGTGCTGATTCCAGCTCCATCTTTTTTGTTTCAATTGTTATCCTACTGTTTCTTCTCTGGCTTTTATTCCAAAAGGAGATAGCTCGGCGACTAGCTTCTATTTTCTCGCGGACAGTTCGACACAATCCATCTTCCCAAATTGCTCGAATCAGCTCTCTTACTTCAGGATTATCTTTCAAGCGTCTATCATATCGGAATAGACCTTGTCGCCTCTTTTTATGAGGTTCTAGTAGAGATAGAATCGGCTTGTGGTCTGATCCTTCGTAATTCATATAGTGACACCGTGCGGAGGGGAACAGCTCAGCCCATGCAGTGTTCACTACAGCCCTATCCAGCCTGCATCTAACCAGGTGGTCTCCTCTCTGTCCTCTCCAAGACAAGGGATCACCAGAGTGTTGCAGATCGTACAGCTCGCCCTCCGAAAAGAAGGTGCGAAGGTCAGAGAAAGAGCCTTCCGGGCGAGACGGGCCTCCTGTTTTTTCCTCGTTGCTGATTATATCATTGAAATCACCGGTGACAAACCAAGGTGCATCGCGGGCATCGTTCATTTTGATCAAATCATCCCAGAATAATTTTCGGTTTGCTTTATTTGTGTCACCGTAAATGAAAGATGCATAGAAAAGCTTGCCTTCAAATACAATAGATGTATCAATCAAGTTGTTCGAATCGTTCAGGACTTCAAGCTTTACATTTTCTTTCCATAGCAGAGTTAAACCTCCTGCACCAGGACTAGAAGGAGGAATAATGTAGTGAAACTCATACTCCAATTCTTGAGTCTTTGAAAGTACAGTTTCTGTGGGATTTTTCGTTTCAGAGAGAAAAATGATGTCTGGTCTTATATCACGCTTGATCTCTCTTAGTCTCTGAACTGTCTCGGGACTCCCCAACCCTTGACAGTTCCAGCTCAAGATTTTTAAGGACCGAGAGTTGATGGATTGGGAAAATCCATCTTCCTCTTTGCCTTAGGTGGAATGAGTTTGCTTAGCGGCTGGTTCTCGTAACTATGAATAGAGTTAGTCTGCGGAGCCAAGGATCGGGATCCCCCATCTCTGCCACCACCTCTAGATGTTGATTTTGTAGCCTGTGAGGAGGGAGTCCCCATTCTACGTTTGCAGGTCTGGGCTTTTTGTGCTACTTTCCTCCTTTTAGTAGTGCCTTCCACGCCTTTTTGAGGGTAGGTTGAAGTCTTTTTTGATCCTGGTGGTCTCCCTGGTTTTCGTTTAGGTTGCGTGTCCGAGGGTCCTGCATCTCTTGGAGCAGAGGAGAGTTGGGGTCCAAGTCGGAGGACAGCAGGAATTCTGGGAGATTTCTCGAGAGGAGGCTCCGGTTGGTTAACCTCTGAGTGAATGACCATAGATTCCTTAACCATCTGTATCGCTGTTTCTTCTACTTCTCCGAGTGCTTCAGCCTGGCGCAATCTCTCTTTCCTGGCTGCGCTCTCAGTGGGATCAGCACATGTTGTATACTGTCTCATAACATCACGGACTTGGCCCATAGCTTTGTCGATTGCATCTTGATGAGTAGGGTGCAAGGATCCCTGGGATGGAGACTCACCCGCTATAATGTTGTTTCCTGATCTTGAGTGAGGAGACTCCATGTTTTTCCCCTCTGCTATAGATCTTGGGGTACCAAAGCCTTGGTTTGTTTTATTCCTCTCAATCTGGCCAGAAGACTGCTCATGATGAGGCGGGAATCCTTTGTTTACTGGTCTGTACATCATATCCCTCGATTGGTGGTCATAAGGGTGATAGCGAGACTGTCTCTGTCTTTGGTGATGAGACGAATGTTGGTAGCTTCCCCTATCGTCAGGAGTAGAGCGCTCGGATCTTTTAGATTGCTGGTAGCGATCCTGATGGCGGTTTCTTCCGTGAGTATATGGGGCTTGTTTGTTGAGATAATACTCGTCTGGATCATAGTCCCTCCTTTTTTCGTGTCTTCCTAAGGAGGGAATAGAGTTCCTGGAGTCATCTTCTCTGCCTTGCCGATAATCATTTGGTATCTTATTCCTACGATGATTGTTCTCCTCCTCCTCTTTAGCTTTCAGAGCCTCCTTCTTGCGGGCTTTTGCCTCCAGGCAGTCACGTAGGTCGTGGTCAAGACGGTTACACATTGAACAATGTTTTTCCAATTTCTCATAAACAAAGTGCGCAGTGACTTCGTTGCCTCCTTTATATTCTATAACAGATTGTTTGATCAGAGGGAGACGTCCATTTACTTGGACCCTCATTTTAACAGCGAGAGATGTAATATCTGCTTCTTCATAGATCCCTATGTCTTCTCCAAGTCTTCTGATAGTGTCCTCCGTCCATAAATGTACCGGGATCCCTTGGACCTTGATCCAGAAAGGAATCATAGATGGGAAGTGGGGAGAGGTAGTCGGCTCCCAACGTTGGAGAATGACCATCCACCTTAAGTAGTGGTAGGGTCGTTTATCAAGGACAGCAAGCAAATCGGATTCAAGTTCGAACTGAAACTGGAACATGCCCTGTCCCAGATCTGCCCCTACAATCTTCCTTTCAGTTTTCCAGTGCTCAGAAAAGAAAGCTAAGAGAGCCCATACTTTTTGGACTGAAGGATTTGTGACTTTTCCAATAAGTGTGAGAGAATGCTTGTGAGTTAGGTAGGCATTCTCAGGTTCTTCAATTTGTATTCTCCCTTTTCTTGGAGCTTGGTACAGCTCTGTTGCAGTACCCTTTCCTTTTTCAGCGGCAGAAAGCCTTCTAGCCGCCATAATGAGAGTTTCAGTGGTAGACCGACCAAAAACAAAAACTTCAGTAGCAAGTAAGGAGACCCTTAAATGCTTCCAGGAGGCAAATTGTTTGGTAGATCTGTAATAAATATGACACTTCCTTAAATTTCAAGAGGTATTTAAGGAGATATCGAAGATAGCAGAGACCGCTGCAGTAATGGTGGAGAGAGTAGAAGATAACGGAACCCCGTTCAAATACTTCTTTAGCTTCGAGAGGTGGTTAAAGCGGTTAAAGACAACGGAATCCCGTTCTAAACTGTTTGTAAAGTGGAAATGGAACTTGAGCAGCTTTCCTGACTTCGGGAAGAAGAGCCATAGCTTTGCGGACGATCTGAGTTCGGATCTAAGAGGTTGTCGTTGCTTTATCGTTGTCCGAACTGGGAACAGGAGTCATGGAGATGACTTTGCCGGTGAAAAACGAGGCGGTGGCGGTCCCTCCGACAAGGGTCGGGGGATGAACCCGGTGTGTAATTCCACAGAACCTGTAAATATCCAGTAGTCTCGTCTAAAAGAGGGAATAATTTGAAAAAACAGAGTACAGACTGGCGGTCTATAGCATGAAGCCGGGAAAAGTCACTGCTTTGTTTAGTGGGTAAAGTCTTCTCTCGAAATCGTCGCCTTGTTACTCGGAGATATAATAGTTATTATGAGTTATAACGAATTCTTTAGCTCAGAGATAGATTGTCTGGTGGACATCGGAGGGTTGATTAGAATATGTCTGGTGGACAATGGAGAGTTGATTAGAATCACACAATTCCACTGATTACCCTAATTAATTATCACATATAATTACACCAAATTTATTATCAATTATTGAAAAGCAATGATTTATGTTGTTTATAATTATGTTCTTGTAAAATCTATGATTAAACAACCCCTTAATTTTTTTGCCAAAAACTTCTTAATTAAAATATAATATATTTTTTTTTCTAAAAGATATAGTATATTCTACACCTATGCTTTTTTTTTCGTCACTATTTATTTTGCAAATGATTCATAAATAGAAGATTTTCAAATGTTAGACTTGTCAAATATAAGATTAGCATGGATTTAGAGTATGTTATCCTCATATATAACATCATTAAAATACATGTTACGAGACATCCAACATTTGATACTATTATTTTTCACATAAACACTAAATAATGTTGCTACAGTCATGTTTTTAAAATTCCTCCAACTAAAACAACATAATATAAGAAAAATAGTTCAACGAAGTCGACCTCTCAGTGTTAATTTTTGTCAACAATGCATGTATTCGACATGTCTATGTCACTCCTTCAATGTATTCAGCTTTTCTGTCAACCTTTATGAAATAAATTATCTTTGTTTTATTAAATTAATATCAATAACAATGTTTTGTTGGTCAGAAAAAAAATTAAAATAATACAATTGGGTTCGGTGGGCCTGTCTGGGAACAAAGAAGGTTGAGAAGAAACCCGACTTTCTCGGGTGTATACATTGAACTTAAGAGTTTTAATCCTCTACATTAACCCCCACCGTAAGCTTCCATCATCTTCTCCATAAGAACTTTCACACAGTTTCTCATTCTCTCATATCTCAAAAAGTTTGAATCTTTCTGTAAACCCTCTTCTCCTTTTTGCCCTATTCTTCTAGGGTTATTCTCCTTTTCATGAATTTAAGCCTTCTCCGAACTCAATTCAACACCGTCTCTGCTCTGTTTCTCGTCGTCTTCGTCCTCTTTCCAACTTTATTGGAGTTTCTTCAAACGTTGTTTCAATCATGTCTGGGATCTTCAGACTCAGTGGTATGCTCTTTAATCTCTTACTAGGGCTTGATCTCGTTAGTTTCTATGTGGCTCTGTTTCGTTGATGTGCTCTGTTTCATTAGGTTCCTTTTAGGGTTCTATTGCATCTGAGTAGTGAGAGAGATGCTTGACACTGTGATTGTACATTTTGATAGAGAAAAAGTTATTTTTTTACTTGTTTGATTATGGTTTCTAGGGTATGATCTCGTTAGTCTCTGTCTCTGGCTCTGTTTCGTGGATTTGCTCTGTTTCATTAGGTCGCTTGAGCGTAAAGTATTGATTTTTGCATGGTTTAATTATAGGTGATGAAGATTTTTTCAATGGGGGAACGATGCATCTCTCCCCAGGGAGCTGTCCTGGTGTATATCTCCCACCACGCAAGAGACTACGCGTCGCTGCATCATCACTTTACAGTGGTTTTGAGAAAAAGCAAACTTCTTCTATTGAAGTATTACCTGATGAGTGCTTATTTGAGATCCTTAGACGTTTGCCTTCTGGGAAAGAAAGAAGCGCATGCGCTTGTGTCTCTAAGCATTGGCTTAACATTCTGAGTAGTATCAAAGCGAATGAGTCTGTTCAAGAAGTGGAGAGTGAAGGGTTTTTGTCAAGGAGTTTGGAAGGTAATAAAGCTACAGATCTGAGGCTTGCAGCTATCTCTGTTGGGACATCGACGCGTGGCGGGTTAGGGAAGCTTCAAATCCGTGGGAATGGTTTTGAGAGTAAGGTTACAGACGCTGGTCTTGGATCAATTGCATATGGTTGTCCATCTCTTAAGGTTCTGTCTCTGTGGAATCTTCCTGCAGTTAGTGATGTGGGTTTGTCTGAGATTGCAAGGTCTTGTCCTATGATTGAAAAGCTTGACCTTTCACGGTGTCCTGGAGTAACGGACAAGGGTTTGGTTGCAATCGCCGAGAACTGTCAGAATCTAAGTGATCTGACGATTGACTCTTGCTCTGGTGTTGGCAACGAGGGTTTAAGGGCTATTGCAAGACGCTGTACTAATCTGAGATCTATCTCTGTAAGGAGCTGCCCACGCATTGGAGATCAAGGAGTTGCTTTCCTCTTGGCTCAAGCTGGTTCTTACTTGACGAAAGTGAAACTCCAGATGCTGAACGTTACCGGTATGTCTCTTGCTGTTCTTGGACACTATGGAGCAGCGGTTACTGATCTTGTGCTTCATGGGCTTCAAGGTGTGAATGAGAAAGGCTTCTGGGTCATGGGAAATGCAAAAGGGATGAAGAAACTGAAGTCACTGTCTGTAACCTCGTGCAGAGGTATGACGGATGTGGGGCTTGAAGCTGTTGGAAGTGGTTGTCCTGATCTGAAGCATGTCTCTCTGAACAAATGCTTGCTTGTTTCTGGCAAAGGACTTGTCGCTTTGGCAAAGTCTGCCTTGGTTTTGGAAAGTTTGAAGCTTGAGGAATGCCATAGAATCAACAACTTTGGTTATTTTGGGTTTCTCATGAACTGCGGCTCGAAGTTGAAGGCTTTCTCTTTGGTAAACTGTCTGGGCTTGAACCAAGAATCACATCTACCATCAACTAGTTGCATCTCCAGCTCCTTAAGGTCTTTATCAGTCCGTTGCTGTCCTGGTTTTGGAGATGCAAGTCTCTCTTTCTTAGGGAAGTTCTGCCATCAGCTCCAGGATATTGATCTTTGTGGATTGAATGGAGTGACTGATGCTGGTGTCCTCTCTTTGCTTCAGAGCAATAACGTTGGCCTAGTGAAGGTGAATCTAAGCGGGTGTGTCAATGTTTCAGACAACACAGTCTCTGCACTATCCATGTCTCACGGACACACATTGGAGTCTCTTAATCTTGATGGATGCAAGAACATCACTGACGCAAGCCTTGTCACAGTAGCCAAGAACTGCTACTCAGTAAATGACATCGACGTCTCAAACACTTTGGTATCAGATCATGGGATCAAGGCTTTGGCATCTTCTCCCAACCACTTGAATCTTCAGGTTCTTTCTCTTGGTGGCTGCTCAGGGATCACAGACAAAAGCAAGGCATGTATACAAAAACTCGGCCGCACGCTTTTGGGGTTAAACATCCAAAGGTGTGGTAGAATCAGTAGTAGCACTGTGGATACTCTTCTGGAACAGCTATGGAGGTGTGATATACTTTACTAGATACATTTCTGCAAGTACTAGGTTCTGGTCACTAAACCCATAGATTTCACCTAGAACTTAGTTTCTTTCCCAGGACACAACAGCTGTTTTTTTTTGCAAATTTTTGGCAGGTTCTTGAGCCTGTTTTCCACAACTGTTGTGTTCTTGGGGATCATGTGACTGAGTTCTGGTAATCTAGTTAGGGTTTGTTTAGTCTTGACCGTGTCTTTAGAGTTGTTGTTGTCTCTCTATGTCTTTGTCATGTTCAGAGTTCTTGTGGGAGTCCTTGTTATATGGTTTAGGATTGTGATAGTAGTGCCTTTATCTTCCCCCTTGTAGAGCTTTTGGCGATGGCGGTGTATCTTCTTAGTCGCCATTACAGCTCTTCGGAGTTGTTTTTTTCTTTTTAATGTTCTGCCAAAAGCTCTGTTTTTCCACGTTTGTTTTTGTTTAAGGCACTATCTGTACTACTTGATCATTGTATAAGCTTTCACTGAATATACTATATATCCTTTGTTGTGATATACAGAACTGAATGTGTTACAAATAGAAAAAATATTGTCACTCCTATATAAACCTCTTATCATTAACTTCCAATGCACTCAGTATCAGTGACTAACTTCTGACCCCCAAAAACACAAGCAGAAATGTATTAACCATAATGGGAGAGAAGTATGTAATGAAAGTTAAATAAAGTATCATGAGATCTTGAGGACGTGGCTGAAGGTAATCTCTATGGTAAGCTTGAGATCTCCAACGGTTGCTTAGCTCTTTGCGTAAACATCTTCACATAGTAAAAGTGAAACTAATATCGAAGCTAACCAAAGGAGAAGTGATAAGAGTAATGACCAAAACGAAAATCAAAGATAGTATGAAGATGGTGCATTCTACTGAAGGAAGAGCCATCTAGTTTCAGAACGGATAGTCTATAATGGGCTCGGTGGGAAGTTTATCATAAGAAAAAGCCCAGCTTAATTCGAACTTCTTTTTAAAATGATAGAAAAAAACTTCTACGTTAGACTCTGCTCATTGGTGCACACGGTACACCCTTAATGTGGAGTCAGTGTAGATTGAAGAAAGAGATGAGACCGGTCAAGAATGAGACAGTGCAAAAGACAGAGTTGCATCGCATGAACAACCAGCCTTGTCTGGACCGCAACCACAAGCCCAACGTTTCTCCCTTCCTACGATCACAGATGAAATGTTTTCTCACATCTTTGTCTCAACCAAATGACCGATTGATAGTAATATGGTATGATATAAAATTTTAGATTAGTTTATACTGATTAGAAAGTTTCAATAATTCACCATTCATTTAGTAATAACACCAAATGAATGTTATCCATTATATCCAGACGTTAAGGTGCTACTACACTTCTGTGCGATGAGTTAATGAAGGCAAGCAATATGTGATTGTGTATGACCTATGATTGGTGTTTCAAAAGAAAAAAAAAAAAAAAGTATGACCTATGATCGTTTCACTAGAGGCTCATGTTAAGCCTATGGAGTGAAGTATTATGTGAAACGCATCGAGCCTCTTAGGTGGATCGTTAAGCTCGAAATGTCTCCTTACATACCGCGCAAACTACGTTTAATATGAATCGTTGAGAAATGAACTGAGAGTTTGAGTATGTTCGTTGCCACTAGGGGCTGCGATTAGGTCATCATCATACATACATGCGGAAGAGTTCTAATTTTGAAGGATAAAACCTTAAGAGTAATACGTCCAAAAATGAAAAATCGTAACGTTCAAGGATTTGACATTTGCTGGTGGAAATGATCAAACAAAAAAAAAGAAAAAAACTTATCTCTTTTGTGGCCTCATCAGACATCGCATGTGGTGTCATAAAAATGCTGTGGCTTGTGGGTCATGACTCCTTTCACATCCCAACGTCTATTTACTTTGTCACTAAAACCTACTATATTTGTTTATTTGGCTTCACAATATTTTTTTATAAATGAAACGTAAAGTACTCAACGCCTGACGTTATATTCAAGACATTATCCGATCATCTATTATTTCGGTTGCTTTTATCGTTTACTATACCCAAATTAAATTAGGATAATAACATGTTGACAGAAATCTGATAGCAACACACCGGCATCATTAACATAAACTATTAGTATTTTGGGTAATTTTGTTGATTTATTTTTGTATATCTTGGTTCATGTATGCTTCTGTTACTATATGTGGCATATCAAGATTTACCATGTCATGTATGCTTCTGTTACTATATATGGCATATCAAGATTTACCATGTCTGCTTGTTGTTGTTAATTAGATGAACGCTTACACTATAGAAAGCTGAACCAAATTTATCTTCTCACATCTTGGTTGGAGCCAGCCATCAGTTCAAGTATATATGTCCTATCTAAGTCGTAGTTAGGCTACTAGAGAATAATTGATCTATCACCAAAAGAACACTCGTAATGTAAGTCTGTCACATATTACATTAAAAACATTATTAGTTCTTATGTTTTATTAGCACCTTAAAGCTAAGGATCAGATAAACAAGTAGACAAATAGTGGTTGCTTAGTACGTGCTGAGCTGTTATCTAGTGGATGAGAAACCTGATAGCATCTATCCTACATCATGCCCTATTTTTTATCCGAAAACTCATATTTCTAATAAAGAAAATTTTGAAAGAGAATCAGCCAAAATGCATTGGAAGTTTTCACAAGACGTCTTCTGTGTGTTTCTCTCTGAACATTAGAATTTGGAGGATAAGATTTTAGCAAAGTCAGAGGCTAACAGCTCAAGCAAAGGGGAGACCCACAAGTGACGTACACTATGGGAAGAAAACAATGGCACGTCTAAATTATTTTGGCATATAGGTCCATATTTTTATAATGGTCCAAGGCTACATGATCATCCTATCACTGTTGCTTTTGTTGGGAGGTGGGTTGGATCTTATCTTTTGCAAAACAATTCTCAATGTTGACAATGATATATATGTTTACATCAGTATAATCCCATTAGATAATAAAACAATTGCCAGTTTAATATCTAAACATAGTGCGATCTAATCAACAAATCAAAGCTAAGCAATATTTATTAACCTAATCAGGAGGAGATCTCTGAATCATGTAGAAAAGATACTCTCAACTTGAATAGATCCGAGATAAGGAAGACGTGTCTCTGCCAATACCCTGATTCTGACAATCTTACCTCTTTTATTAGTTGATTCCCCAACGTAATTTTATTTTGCTCGATTTGTTTTTTGAACTTTTAACTCATGCTGTGACGTGCTCCACTCATCAGCCAGCTGTCCTTTCCTCAAATACTTCCCCAAAATACTTTACTTTCCATAATCACCCGCAATCGCATAATGAATTACCCTTTTTGAGCTGTTTAGGTAATAAATTGATTTTGTCCTTGATTCCTTCGAATATTTTTTATATTTTTCAAGCCATTACTGAGGAATCTCCTTACCATATGTTACATCTCTGATTCAAAAACTCGTCCCAACAAAATTCATTACTTTGGCTCCAAATCTCTATTCAACTTCTCCTTCGTTAACATAAGTAACATAAGGTCAAACGTTGACTTTCTTTCTTACAGTCCGATTTCATTTTATCGAAGTCCATAAAAACCAAAGTCGAATGTAACGGTTCCCCTAAGCAATGTTCTTCTCCCACATGGTGCGAATCCTGAAAACCTCTAAAAAACAAAACAGATCAAACATTCACAAAAAACGAGCTAAACTAACATATACGAATTAAATAAAGATACATACCTCACTCACACGACGAACAACGCATACCTGGAAATTACAACGGAACACGGGAGACACGACGACGGTTTAACGGTAAACGGAACGAGTCAACGAAAAACGGTAAACGTTGACGTAACAAACAACTGCGAGAAGTCAGTGATGAAGAAATTGGAATCCAAAATATAAACCAAGTCGCTTTGTTCCATTTGATTCCAATACTGTTCTTTGATTCTATATATTTTTTTCAAGACAGTGAAACTTAGTCCTCTTTCATTTGCATATGAGGCACTATGTACAATTCATAGTCACAAACAAACAAAGCTTAATACGACGTCGTTTCAGGTCTCCGTCTCAGCTGGCTTCAGATCCAGACTTCTTTGCCACAGCTCCACCAGAAACGATACCTCCTGTGGCCGATCCAAAATCCAACAGACCAAAAACCAAATCAAACATCCTCGCTTTTCGACATAGACGATAACCTACTAAGCCTAGGCTGATAAGCACACCTCCTTTTCAGCTGATGCGAAGACGGCCTTATCAAAGTCGTCAACGCTCTCCTCACCCACTCACCTTCAACACCACCGATCCTCACCAGAGAATTCGTCATCGCTGATCTCCTCATATTCAAACCATTAGTTGGAGGATACGTAACCGCCCCTTGCCCGTGCGGATTCGCCACGTTCTTGTGTAGAGCGCACCTGAACGAACCGGGGTGAGTCGTCGGCGAACACATGCATCTCCTCCGTGATTCGGGGATCTTGTTGACGCTGGACTTTGAAACGGCGATGGATCTGTTCGGAGAAATGGATCTGGAGTCGATTGAGTAACCGAACGATTGTTTTGGGGATGTGAAGAGGTTGACACGTGTCGGGGAGGCTGATCTGTGGTGTTGGTGTTGCTGTTGATGATTTTGGTTGTTGAAGAAAGAACGAGATGAGAAGGTGGAGGTTGTGGAGGAAGCGAAGCTTGATGAAGACGGAGAACGTATTGATCTGTTTCTAGAAGATGTAACCGCCATTTTTTTTTTTTTGAGATATTATTCTAACTGCTTCTAGAATGAAGAGGAGAGATGTTTTTTTTCTTTTTCTATGAGTTCTCTTTGAGAGTAGTTGGTTCGGCAAACCTAGGGAGTCTCAGATGGGGAATTTATAGTTGAGGAGGAGGAGTGGTGTTTTTGTGATTATTGAGAAAGTTTGTGACCTTTTTGGTAATTTAGGAAACTTGGTTAAGTGACTTGACCATGGTTGAGTAGATGGTTTTGTTTATCAACTTGTGTGGATTCTGATCCAACGGCTGAGGAAGGATGGTTCAGCGGGGTGATTTTGTGGGGGACTTTACAATGGGCGCCACGCAATTCATTTATTGATGTATTGGCTGATAAAATCATAGGCAAAAAAATGGTTTCTTCAAAAATATATAAACTTGACACTTTTTAAGATGTTGTGTGTGTTCCAGAAGTCATAGTGATCTTTGAGTTGTGTAATCGTGTTATTGCTTTTAACTTTGGCTGTGGATGGTAAGTGTTTACGATGTCGACTTAAAGCATGATTAATCTTGGATTCTTAATGTGGTGTTCTTAGCGGAAACTAAGAAACAATTTCTTAACTTTTAACTAAAAACGTTAAGAATCGATTCTTAAATAAAAATTAAGAAACAGTTTCTTAGTTTCCGCTAAGAACCTTGGATTAATCATGGTTTTATGACTCTGGAAAGGTGTTGTATTTTTGCCGGTTTTGTGTAATATGTTGGTTAAATTAAAATTAATCCAATAGACACAAAAATGACAGTCTTTCTACAAAAAAAAACAGACGAAACAAGTCGTTTCCGAATAAGTTGACGGTTTATGACCATGATAAATCATATTAATAAAATCTAGAGCAAGTACGAACGTAGGCCATTGGTCAAAAAATAATAACCAGTTTTCTATAAATAAAACGCGATTCAAACATATTATGAATCGGTCTTCAAAGTTATGCCGTGGACCGTGGGATGTCCTTTTTGATTGATAGACCAAACCATGTACGTGCTTATATAATATGCTACAACCAATAATATATATTAACGGTGTACATTGGCTTATAAAACTTCCTGATACAAAAGAATACTAGAATATTCAGCATTACGTTGTTCTAGGCAATTTCTTGTGAAAGTATTAACTTATGCCTTGTAGTTAGTCATAATTTTCTTAATAGTAATATGTTTACATAATAGTATTAAAATAGTCTAGAATTTCAAGGGAGTGAGAGTAGAATGAGCACATGATAGTGATGAATGACAATGTTCCCAGCTGTGAGGGAGCGTGACTTTAGCACCATTATGTGTCAGTCTGACAGGTTTTCGATCATAGTCTTCAAAATCTATGGGAACAAATACAAAATCTACTCACTCTTTTCTAGCTTTTTAACCGCCAATCTTTTTATTTTGCCTGTTTAGCTTAGAAAGATTTAGTGAGAGTGGTTGTCTACGTTCACTGCTATGGTCATTAAGTTGGAAGGTGAAGATATAAATTGATAGTGAGACTTATTTATGTAGGAAACATCTATAGTTCAGTAAAATAAGATGGCTAGTTGGCTATTGTCTGCGACCTATTGCTATCAAGTAACAACAAATAAACTTAATTGTGCAAGTTAGACAATTATTAAAAAAAAACCAATTTTCCAAAGATGAGCCCTATATAGTAAGTATAATACTTGTATGTCAATATGAATATCTGTAAATATGTAATGCCTGTTTGTATGTGTTCAAAAAATGTAATGCCTGTTTGTATGTGTTCAAAAAATGTAATGCTTGTTTGAAGACTTTGGTGATTTATAATGCCCCAACATAGATCAAGAATTTAACCGTTTGAATTTTGAATATGTAAACTTATAATCAAATCCAACGTATAACTAGAGGTGCCTAACTAATTACTTGCCAATATCATAACTGAAATATTCTATTAAGAATAGGTTGAGCTTCTTACTCTGCAACTTGCTGATCTTAAGTCAGTCCTCTAGGCCTCCGAGTCAAGTCGTGCGCTTTTAGTATTCAGACTTTTCGTTATATGATTATTCTATATAAGTCTTCGTGTAATAAATTTTGGCATTGACTCAGATAAAGCAGCTCAAGAAATATCTTTTTTTTTTTTAATGAAATGTCTCTTTTTTTTGTTGAAGAAATGACAAATATCTTATAAAAATGACAAATATCTGATAAAAGATGACAAATATCTGTTTAGTACAGTAAAAAGCAAATGTAGCAAGCCAATAGGAGAAAAAGCATAACAATATAATATCTTTTTTTGAAGGATTTTATTTAATTTATAATTGGCAACAATTACAATAAAATATCTTTTTTGACTAATTACAATTTCTCAAAATAATTGTTAAGCTGTTTTTACATATAGTTCCCAATGGTTTTCGTTTTTAACTCTTTAATTTATCTGATTGGTAGCTGAATAAGCCAGTTGCGGCTAACCGCTGCTACCCATTATATAAAATAAAGGAGGTTCAGTGCACCCATTGTAATTGTGACGGTTAATTCTGAGGAATATACAAAATGTAATTAGATTATATATTAGGCTAACTAATAATGATAGTAGCTACAATCACAAAGCACAACACAATTTTGTGTCATGTTGGCAAGTGCTGAGGGACAAGCAAATCTTTTAAGCACTGTCCTAACTTTGACACGTATGAATCCATTAAAACACAGTCGGCACCCACTTCTCAATAGCCTCACGACAAGTAAAGGAAAATAAATACTATTTTTTTCTTATTGTTTAGCAAATGAATTCATTATTTAATTCAGACAACAGAGTCGAGTTCTAACATGGGTCATGTGATTATCATCGTTTATTACAAGTTACCAAAATTCTCTGGTGATCAGGAAGTGTTTGTACACCACATGATCAGGAATCTGTTTTGTTTAAAATTAAGATGAAAATGTGCTTTTGGTTCATATAACCATATTATAATTTCTGAATCTATTCGAACAAAATTGCTTAAAATAAGAATATGAATAATTAATTGGAAAGTACATTTGATAAAGCCAATAGGTGTGCCTAATTATTGATTAGTGAAGTGCTAAACCCAAAGCCGACGAGTCTAATCATTTTCCCGTTAAACCACCAATAATAATATCAACACCACCCCTATTTATAATTCGTAAACTAATCACACATTTCTTAAGTAGTCTCAGGTTTGAATATCAATGTTATCATCACTCATAGTCTTAGGCATATAATTTTATTTCCATCTTATTTAAATATTAATGTTATCATCACTTCTTTCTATAGACCTTTAGAGAGAAGTGAAAGAATTGTACAAGCTAGTCTCAACGTTTATAGTGTTACAAAAAAAAAAAAAAATCTCAACGTTTATCGTCTCTCAAGTTCGTGTAGACTCCTAGAATTTGGGATTAAAGCATCCACCGGAGATGATAATATCTTTAATACTGTATTTATGTTTTGTACACCAAATATAAAACATTAAGCTAGCAAGACCAAAGATCCAAAAGTGTATGAATTAAAGAACGAAGACAATTAGAGTAGTTTAGCTTGCGGGCCACACAACTTCTTTCGAACCAAACCAAAATCTCTCTTTTACAGAACCTAAGCCCAGACTTTACTAACCCAAATATAATCTGTTCTGGATCGGCTGGACCGGGTTGACTCATTTGCAGGCCGAACTCCAAAAGCACTCTTTGGTCATGTTTGCAGTTTTGGTAAGAGATAGATAGTAAGTTTACATCAGAAATGGAACCTAGGCATTTCACTTATGGAGCTTGGGCGTGCCACCATGATGCTCCGCCTGGGCCCAGCACCTGTGTGTACACTTGTGCTACATATTGTGAATCTGATTCTTACATTTTATTTATTTATAAAGCATTAGCTTGCATATAACTTTGTTCACAGATGATGATAAACCTATACATCTATAAGACCACATGTTAAATGTCATGATGATGCTGTTGTTAATGCTGGGCCTGCAGTGTTCATATCCCCTACAGGGCGTAATCCTTTTATATCTCAAAACGTGCCTTCCTCAAGCTCAGAAGAAACTGCAGGGAGAGCCAGGAATAACAATAGACAAGCCTCTTCAAGAGAGGTACTTGCTATCTTCATTGTTTCATCATTTATAGCATGTTACATGTTTATTACATAAAATTGAGACGCATGAGGAAGGTGGCGAGCAAGGCGAGTCAAGTCGGTAGACACTTCAATGTTACCTAAAACATGTCCATCTTATTTACTTTTATAAAATTAATGCTATTATGCGATCAATTTTAAACGTATGTGCGTATAGAGAGACAATAGAGAACTGTGGTTAGGCTAATAGCTGCTTAGAAGTGGACTTTGTTGGCCAAACAATAGATTAGACACAACAGCAGCTGCTTATAAGGATTAGGCTAATAATAGCTGCTGAGAAGAACAATCACAATGAACTGGTCTAGTTTCTGAAACTCAACTCTTTTGGATTGACACAAACCATGTTTATAGCACTAAAGAGTCTAGAAGAGAGTCAAATTGCGTCACCGCCGATTGTAATGACAACATTCCCAATCGATTAGGACAACGTATATGTCAAAGCGGTTATAGAAATTAGAAAAAAAAAATGCTGTCTAAATGCATTTTCAGTCGTAGGCTTTAACTTGTTGGATGTTGGAACATGTTCTTTCAGGACAGAACATTGTGACAATCTCTCAATCTGACTTAACAACATTACCACACATTAAGCATACAAGGAGGTATAGAAAGCTGAAACCTTTATGATAGCATACAAAGAAAAAAAGAACAGTTTTTGAAACAGAGAGAGAAGCTTTTCTAGAGCTGTCTCCCAGCAGCATCAGCAACAAGAGGGATATAAGGAGTCTTCCCAACCAAACAACTCACAACACCATAAACAAAACACATGAAACTAAACACAAACACACCCGTATGTCCCCACATCATCACCTTCATCCCAAACCCACTTCCCTGACCCGGATCCAATATCCTCGTCAACAAAACCGGAACCGCAAGCAACACATCAAGCGTCACGGCCTGCATCGCGTTGAACCTAACGTACCTGGTGAAACTCGTGTTCCTCACGACACCCAAGTAGAGGCCAAAGAAGGCGACGAAGCTGGCGTAAGGGAGGGATGTGTAGAGGTTGAGGATGGGGAAGAGGGGCTCCACGAGGAGGCCGAGTTTGGGGTATTGTGCGAAGAGGAAGCGACCGTATTGGATGGAGTTGAAGAAAGGTAAGGCGTAGGAGGCGATTGAGATCACGCGCTCTGTTGCTGGTGTTGGGGTGTGGGATGCGCGTGTGGTTAGGGTGGAGAGGCGTTTGGGTGAGGGGAGGAGTGAGATGGTGGAGGTAGGGAAGGAGAGGGAGAGTGGTGTGAGTCTAGGAGCCGCCAAGGGTTTTAGGGTTTGGTGGAGAGATAAGCACAGTGACGCCATTTTGAGAATTTCTGTTCTTGTTTTTTTTTTTGGGAGAGAGAAACTCTTAAGAGAGGAAGCTTTTAACTGATTCGAACCGACCAAACTAAATTCAGACCGGAGTTTAATTTAACCAAAATCCAAAATCGGTTTGAATTCATATCGGTTTCGAAATTTAATTTTTAGGTTCTATTTAAATTATATTGGAATTTGATTTAAGAATTTATATATGTTATTTTAATATTCTTCATATATATACATATATATATATATATATATTTAAAAAAAAAATTATATTCTTCAAATACTTAAAGATTTGTAAAATTTTAGTTAAGTTTTATACTCTTGTTCGAATTTAATATTTATCTAAATTTTATACATGTTCAGTTGAGTTTAATCTGTATAATTTAAATTTATATAAATTTTATATGTTTGTAAAATCAACTTTAGATATGAATTTAATTAAAATTTAAGAATTTAAATTTTTGATACGTGTTTTCTGTATAATTAAAATAAAATTAACTATTTAAGTATTTATTTAAATCGTGAAAATCTATTCAAATATTAATTCAAATTTCTATGTCAGTTTTTAACTTCTTTTTGGACTTTTCACAGCTTTAGTTTTTTTTTTTTTTTTGTATTCGTTTCTATTTTGATGAGTTGGAATAATAATTGATACCTAAAATGTTGTTCATACAAATATGTTTAGATGATTTTTTGGTTCAGTTTTGGTTTGGATATCGGTTAAGTTACAACTCACCGTACCTTTTAAAATACAGTAAAATTACAAACCAAGTTTAATTCTCTTCATAACCAAACTAACAACTAGAGAAGAAAGACGACTTTGAAGACACTCTTCCTCCTCCCTCTCCACTCTCCCCCCAAACTCCCATCAATGAATTGCGGTGGAAAAACTCTGTTCTACCCACTTCTCATTACCCTCTCCGTCGCTCTCATCACATACAACCTCATCATCTCCTCCAACGCTCCTCTCAAACAAGGCTTCCCCTCCTCCTCCTCCTACAATGACCCACTCATCCAATTGCCACGTGGCGGATCCAGAATCCGCAATGAGAGGAAACCAAGACTTTTCCACACGGCAGTAACAGCCTCTGACTCCGTCTACAACACGTGGCAATGCAGAGTCATGTACTACTGGTTCAAAAAGGCTAAATCCTCCTCTGGACCCGGATCCGAAATGGGTGGGTTTACCCGGATCCTGCACAACGGTAAACCCGATAAGTATATGGATGAGATTCCCACTTTCGTTGCTCAGCCTTTACCACCTGGGACGGATCAGGTTAATTAAGAAAGTTTCAAAGTTTTGATTTTTTATTTTAAAATTCGGACATTGATTTTGTTGTTCGGACAGGGTTATGTTGTACTAAACAGACCATGGGCGTTTGTACAATGGCTTCAACAAACTGAAATTAAAGAAGAGTAAGTTGCTTTTGCTTTCACACTTTGTTTTGGTAATAAAGTAATGATTTTTTTTTTAATGTAATGCAGTTATGTTCTGATGTCTGAGCCTGATCACATCATTGTGAAACCTATACCGAACTTAGCTAAAGATGGGTTTGGAGCTGCGTTTCCTTTCTTTTACATTGAACCGAAGAAGTATGAGAAGGTGTTGAGGAAGTATTATCCTGAAGAGAGAGGACCTGTTACCAACATTGATCCTATAGGAAACTCTCCTGTTATTGTCGGAAAGGTTTATTTTTTATTTTTTTGTTCTGAAGAGTGTGGGATCAGGTTTTTTAGAGGGTTTAGATGTTATGGTTTTGTAGGAGGATTTGAAGAAGATTGCTCCAACTTGGATGAATGTTTCTTTGGCTATGAAGAAGGATCCTGAAGCTGATAAGGCTTTTGGATGGGTTCTTGAAATGTACACATCTTTTGATAAACACTTTTTTGTTTTGTTTAGAGTGTTGTTTTAAAATTTGATTTACTTTTGTTATATAGGTATGCTTATGCTGTCTCATCTGCATTGCATGGTGTTAGCAATAATTTACACAAAGAGTTCATGATTCAGGTAACCTTTATACACCTTTTGAGTTTGAGTACAGTGAAATAGTTATGGATTGGATCACATAAATTCTATATATTGTTGCTTGTTACATAGATAAGATGCTTATTTTGATGCATTGACTAAATGACTTTGATTTGGTTGTGTTTGTTTTAATAATAAAATCAGCCTCCATGGGATAAAGAGGTTGGTGACAAGTACATCATACACTACACTTATGGATGTGATTTTGATATGAAGGTAAAGATTTCAAATTCTGATTTGCCATTTTAAGAACAAGAGACCAACTTGAGGACTTGATTATTGAGATTGGCATGATTATAGCAATCAAGGTGGATTGCAATTGATAAGAGAATGATTGTTGTGATTTTCAGGGTCATTTAACCTATGGAAAGGTTGGAGAATGGAGATTTGATAAAAGATCGTATATTAAGTCAGCGCCGCCAAAGAACCTTACAATGCCACCACCAGGTGTTCCACAGAGTGTGGTATGTTTACAATCCTTCACTTTCTGAAAAACTCATTATGTATATGATTACAAGACAGTTCCCAAGTTTTCTTTATTGGCAGGTAACATTAGTGAGGATGGTGAACGAAGCCACCGCAAACCTTCCAGACTGGGGATTATAGAGAGATATAGAAACAGTTTATTTTTAATCTTATGTCTTAAGCTATCTGTATACGATGTTGGTTTCGTTTGTAAAATATATAGCTTTTCTAACAAAACCCGATCTTACTAGAATGAACTGAACTTGTTAAAGATATAAATGATGTAACTCTCATCACAAGTAAACAACCAAACCATGCCATTATCCAAACCTCAACTAGTTAGCTTATTGAGAGAGCATTACTTGCTTATAGTACCGATCGAAGCCGGTGACTGTATCCCTTACTCATCATATATTAGGTTGAGGATTTAGTTAAACAAAAATTTTCCATAATGAAATCTTTGTTATGAAGTCAGTAGTAGGTCATAAACATTATGATTAATGGAGGTGATTAGTGTATTTAGTGAGTCGTTTGTTATAGCTAAGACTTGACAACATGGACAGCTTTATCTTTAATTGTGACTTGGTTGGTTTATTCAACAAATCTCCCCACAACTTTTGTCCTTTGACCTAACGGCTAATTATCACTTGCCATGCCAGGCTGCCAAGTAAGTGCCAACCTTTGATTTTTGTCTTAACCACTTTTTTTGTCTTTACTTAATATCACTCTAATTAGTTTTTTTTTTCTTTCTGAAACATTCACTTTAATTAGTTAATTATCATTATTACTAGGCTATTAGCTGCACTCAACCTCTCTCTATATATCTAATATCTTCCTAACAAACTCAAACACCACAAATTATAAACAAGATACTGATTGAAAGATAAGGAAATAATGAAATTACTAGTTTCATTTTTTATATAACCAAGGTCGGTTCTGAAATTTAAAAAATTATAGGTAATTTATAAAAGATTTAAACTTAAATTTTATTTTTTTACATATTTAGGGGTCTAAAGTCTATTTTTGTGGACTTCTGTCTCTGTATTTTTTTTTTTTTTAAAATTAGGTGTTTTATACGACCCTGCATATAACGCAATCTTAGTGTATTTGTACTTTTTATTATCATATCTAATAATGAACCTTAAAGACAAAAGGAACCGTTTCGCTTCCGCCTTCACAGCTGTCTTTCATCATTAGCCAGCTATACTATTGCTCCCTGTCATAGCACTGTCACGGTCTTCAAAATAACGGTCAAATGTAAAACACCCATCACTATATAGTCCAACGGTCGGCACGACTTATGTCTTAACCACACTCAGTTGTGTAATATATAGAGCTGTCCAAAACTGTGTTCTCCTCTCTTCTTTAACCATTTTACTCACCAAACAAAAACTCTCAAAGACAACAACACTCTGTTCCTATGGCAACAGATCAAGAAACTCTTCTCTCAGATGGTTACGTAGAAACGGCGACGGCGACGTTTTGTGGGTGTGGGCATCTCTGTAACCTCCGGGGGCTCTGGAACTGTAATTTGCAAGAAGAAAAAGGAGAAAGTTGGTTGAGCAAGAAACTTAAGGGGCCAAAGGAGATTTCTGAGAAAATTGCGGGGCCAAAATGGAAGAACTTTATAAGAAGTTTTAGCAATGGAAGGAAGAAGATGAAGAGGGATGTGGACTTCACGTACGATCTCAAAAACTACAGTCTTAATTTTGACGACGGCGGCGAGAGTACTTCACCGGAGAGATATGTAACTCCGGCTGTTATAAAAGTTTGATATATTTATTTTCCCTTTTTGTATTATTTTTATTGATCGTGTTATAAATGTTAATACCAAACATAGAGAAAGTGGTAATAAAATAATTTAGGCGTTACTTGTTGTTCAATCGCCACTCTAAGTTAGATTATGTCTACTATTTTTTACTACTAACCCCTTTTTACACCAAACAAAGCTTTTGTTAGAAGATCATCATGTCATCCTCTTTAATCTTCTTGCGTCAGAATATACCGTTTAGAGAACTTTAGAAATGACAAGTATTGGGTCTTATTGAAGATCAAGTTCTTGACTGATTTTGTCTATTACATGTTTGAGTTCTTGTCTAACCCGTTACATCAAATATCTCTCGGTCTCAGTAGGAACCAGAGGACTAAAACCCAACACATCTAAACCATCATCAAACATATTAAGGGAAGAGTAAGGACAATTTGTTTGGTTGTTTACTTACTGAGCTACCACACTGTTACTATTGTTTGTCAGTTTATGTTTTCCAACGGTATTTTACAAGTATGATTTGTTTGTCATGTGTTGTCCTATACCAAAAACATTTTTACATTGAGATGATCTGATCAAAAGCATAGGGAAAAGGAGAAATGAGATACATCGATTTAAGATGTTGGGCTGTGTAAACAATTATTGGGCTAGACTCATTTATACTGATTTCGTTCTTGGCCCATTCCACCAATTCGCCAATTTAGGTTGGGTTGTTTTGCTTCCATCTGTCGCAAGCTCGACTGGCAGGCATGGCCGGTCCTGAGATATGCCTTGTGAAACATTCGCATTAGGTCCCTAAAAATTTCGAAGAAAACTATATAAGTATAGATCCCTAAAATTTTTTTCTAAGAGCATGTTCATCGCTACACACGCGTCTCCGTTTCTTATACATTTTTCTTTTGTTTTATTTAATTAAAAAAAAGAACTAACCATATGTGGCCGCGTGGCAAAACAGTACAAACAACTCTCACCTAACGTATCTTATATGGCGACTTCTGCACACGTTTGTAAGATAATTTGTGGTCCCTACCACCTAAAATACGAGGGAAGATATGCCGATGCACATGCTTTAAACCCCCAAAAATTTTTTACACAGAAATCATCATAAATCCCCAAAATCTCATGACCGGCTCTGCTGGTAGGCACCAGTAATACTATAAATTTAGGTCGCTGACTGGTTGGTCCTATCCAAGATTAATCTGCGATGAACAAATTAATACTGATGTAATATTATCTAACAGAAAATATATAAAATAATCATTCATGATCAATTTGCATATATGATTTTTTTATATGCATATATATGTCATGTGTTAGATATTGACGTACATGTGCTAGTGCTGCGATGAGGCTATGGGTGAGAGTGACAGGAGAAATAAAATGGTAACATGAAAATTGAAAACAACACTATCGACCGATGGAAGTCAAAAGTTTCTCCTTCATGTTCGACCAATTAGATATTCAACATGATTCCAAAGAAAGGTTCTAAAGAGAAAAAAACATTGTTCCAAAGCACACATCACATGGCCTACTAATGTTTGGAACATCGATAACATTTACCACGTCTCACAAACATTTTAACTAATGTTTGTAAAGTATAATCAACGGTCAGAAACGTTTAAATGCCAAAAGAACCATTGAAAATGTAACCTTTGAAAATATTTTTAGAAGTAAAATTAAACTAATTATAAATCAGTAAATATTTTTTATATTTTTAATAAAGAATCTGTAAATTATCTATCAAAAGAAGTTTCTGTGGCTAACATATAGAAGCAATTTGTAGTTTAACGTCTATAGGAAACAAAGAACTTCAACGGACGAAGAGATAAGGAGGGAACAAAGATCCCATGGAGTGCGGTAAATGGGAGTGACAAAAAGTCTCTGGCCTTTTGGAGTCAAATGTTAGCATTCACTTGCTCTCACTTTGCTCCAAAACCGCGTCCAATCCAATTTTCTCCAACTTGACTTCTAATTCTCTTTCTCTTTTTTTTTTTGTTTAGAAAATATAATATATGAATTTGATTCAGAATAAAGACACAACATACAACATGTAATCTAACTATTTTTATTTCTAGTTTTCAGGGTTTATTGTTCTCCAACAGATAGATATGAATCCAAGTCATGAATCCCCTACTATATGTCCTTGTTAGTCTTAAGTTCAAATTCCTGATTAGAGTCTATAATATAACCAACCATTTGTAATCATTTTACCGTTGTGCTGTAATCAATGTTTGAAGCAGTTCTAGTTTGAAGTGGTATGTGTGTGTGAAAGTCATATAAGAAACAAACAGTGTTTTAATTGGAACCTATAAATATGACTGAACGTTAAAGTATGGGAAATATAAAAAAAAAATATATATATTCTGATTTTTTTTGTCAACAAATATATTATGATATTTGTAGCATTTAAGCGAAATGTGAGAATTCTATCATTTTTACTGGAAATGCAGTTTTTCTTTGTGATGTCTCAGAAAGAAAAAAAAACTACATTCTTCAAAAATACTCCTACTTCTTTTGTTAACTTTAAATGGTACGTTTTTTTTTGTAATACATCGATAATTTTCTACACGCAGAATTTTGACATGTTGAACCAAATATATTAGTGAATGGGATCACTTTAACTGTTTAAGCGTAGACTTACACAATCTATGTAGAGCTCTCTCCCACTGTCTTAGTATTTTTATTTATTTTTCTTACATTAGCCATCGTAATTTATATTTCTTTATTTAAAAAAAAAAAAAAAAAAAAAAAAAAAAATATTTCTTTATTTAAAAGTCTTATCCAATACTGCTTATACGTTAAGTGGAATTAGTAGCAACGATTAGCTACATTCAGACCATATTACTGAAACATTAAGTACTTATGCTTATTATCTCCGCTAGACTTTGAAAGGAGAAGACGATAACACATTTCATTGAGGAAAACATATAAGATGAATTTGTGTGAGATTTTTTTTTCTTCCGACATAATACGCAAAATGGCCAACAAAGTTAATATAATATACCCTTTTGTAAATATTTTGTTTTTATCGGTTTCCGAAATGATAATTTGGAAAATTTGTCAACATAGATTAGATTCTCTTGTACCAAGAACAAAAAAAATGTGTAGATAACACCAAAAGATACTGCATGTGTGTATGCAAGCTGAGGAACAACATCTCTGAAACCTCCAAAGTCCATGTTGAATAACTTCATCTATTATCATAAAATTATATATATGACTATGTTTCTCTATATTTAAAATTACATATGCTCTTTAGAATATTAGTTTTGTTGTGACATTTTGTTGAGGATTCAATGGACCCTCCATATTTGCATGTGACTGAGTGTGGAATGGGACGAGAGAATGGCGGTCTTTGATATGGACGTCACCTTATTATGTCGCATTTATCTACAAAATTATATATATATATATTTTTTTTTGGTCGAAACAAAATTATATTATTAATATAAATAACCTGTTTGCCAAATTTCTTTTTCTTTTGCAATTAACAAAAGTATTAATTACGTTCTAACTTAAAATTATAGTATATTTATGAATCATGAAACTTATGCTTTATTCAATCCAATACATGCATGTATCTATATTCATCTAAAAACTATCTGACGATTCTTATGCTAACAAGTCCATTTCTTTATGTGGAAAACCACTATAACTAAATGTACGACCAGTTCTCTGATTTAAGTGAGCAAATAAAAAATGGAGGGGCTATATATGCACACAAAAATGGTTCAAACAATCTCTTCTCTGTATATCAGGGACTATGGTACTGTATTAATTTATAAAATTATTAATTTACAAAGCTTTTTATATTTTTATATTATATAATGTATTATTTAGAAGATAAGAAAATAATTAATTTTATAGTATATAGGTTAATTAAATTTTAGAAATTCGACTTTCATATAAATTTGTTATATTATTTGGTGTATTTAACTATATTTCATACAATTTATATACGGTTTTAACTATAATTTTACTAAGAATTATCAAAATATATTGAAGTGTTTAAAAAATTAGATAGTTCCATTGTAAATATAAAACAAACAATGCAATTTTTTGTTTGTATTTATAAAATTTACAAATTATTAATTATTACTTTAATGAATATATATATATATATATATATATATATATTTATATAAGCTTTTAAAAATATTATTTTATTATTTTCTAAATTTGTAACCAATTCAACTTAGAACTGATTTCTTTAAATAATTTTTTATATTTTTGAATTTATTAATTAATTGAGTTTGTATCATATGTATATATAGCCTTCACCACTAAAGAAATATAGAGTGCAGATGTATCCGAAACATTTAAAAATAAAAAAATTTAACAAATTTTATATATACCGCTTGTAATTTGTGATTTTATACTTTATACTGTTATATATTTGCGCACCTACTCAAAAGAATTCTGGACTCGCTTATTACAGCTGAATGCAGAAAAGGACATGAATCACAATCAACCCATTTCATCACCCATGTTTATATATGTCTTAGTAGGTCCCATGTCACGCGTTTACGTTCTAGGTCCACTTATTTTATTCATAATACTTGTCTGATTTTCCCATAACTTTGTATGTAGTCCCAAGCAACCTAATTGTGTGTGTTCGACTTTCTCTTTTTTTCCAATGTCGACAAGACCAAATTAAGATATGTAATATGATTCACCAGACATATGATGACCCTCTATTCTATAAAACAAACAAATCAAACATGTAATAATGACTGATGTAATTGCTATTTCATAATTCATAATGTTTTGCTTAATATTAGAGTTCATTCGCTGGCCGGCAAATCTCGCGTATTTAAATTATCAAGCATGAAATTTCATATATCTATTTGGATCAGGTACACTTTTGAAATTTGTTGCCTATAATCTATTTGAAGTTTTGAACGAACCTTATTTAATCATGATTTTGGTTTCTTACTATGCACTCAATTCTCTCTTTTCAGAAGTATGGAGCTTGAAAGTTACAAGGATAGCCACACTACTCAAACGTCCCAAATCAGTAACAAAGAGACAACATTAGCAATGCAAATTATACAAAAACAGTATTTGTTAGAGCTTCCCACTCCCACCCACATGCTTGCTTCATTGTTTGGGCGACCTAT